TTTCTACTTCTGGTTCCCTCTAAAGCATTTTAATTTGGGTTATTGTATGTTTTATTTGTGAGTGGTTATTTTTTTGTGTGACCAGATCTTTTCCATATTCATTTCTATGTTTTCTTTATTTTTGTTAAACTTTGTACAGAGTTCACTGAGCATTTTTATATCTGGTGTTCTGAATTCTACATCTGGTAGATTGTCTCCTTTTTATTTAATTATTTCTCTGGAGTTCTGTTCTGTTTTTTTATCTGGGACATATTTTATTGTCTTTTCATTTTTGCTCTCCCTATGTATGTCTGTATGGATTCGGGAGAGCTGCTCAGTCTCCCAGTCTTCGTTGAGTGGCCTTCTACAGTAGGTGTCCTGTGGGTCTTATTAATTTAGCTTTTCTGACCATTTGAGTTAGGAGCTCCGATTCTGTCCCATGTGTGTGTTGTATGTGTTCCACTGTTCTTGTTGAACTTATTTGCTATTTGCTCATAAATGAAATGGATTGACCCTCTGGCTGATTGGTTGTGAGAACTGGCCATGACTACGGTGGAAGAGGTATTGTGCACAGGCTGACCCTGTGGAGGATTTGCTTTTGCAGGACACTGGTGCCATCCGTGTCTGCCCGTAGGAGGTGTCATATGTGGAGGTCTTGAGTGCTGCTCTGTCCTGGTCTGAACTTGGCCATTGGGTTGGTTGGTTCTGAAGCCTCTTGGGAGGGGTTTAGTTGCAACTAATTTCAGCCCCTTCTTGTGACCATTTGATATGAGCTACAAAGTTACCATCAGATGGTTGCCACTTGTGGTGGGCAAGAGGTGCCTGGCAGATAATAAGCTGCAAACGAAGGGCACTGCTACTTGTGCAAGGCTTGGGGCTTCTTAGCAGAGGTACAGGAAATGCCAAGGGCAGATGCTGCCTGTTTGACATTGCGAATCTTTGAGAGTTTTTAGGAAAGTCAACATCATGAGCAAGGACAGGCAATTTGTTTGGAGAAGCCAAAGTAAGGAGCTTAGTTGGCACTAAATATTGGATTTTAGGGAATCACTAGAGCAGACTCACGGGTGTTATCTAGACTGGTGAACACTCAGATATCGTCTCTTCCTGCATCCATATGATGGATGTAGAGAGGGCTCAACAAAAAAACAATGTCTTCTGCCAGCACAATTTCTTCAGTCTGGGAGGCAGCTTCCCCTCCAGCCCTTGCCATGAAGCGAGACAAAACTGTTTCTCCTCTTATGTCCCTGGTATCTTTTGAGCTGCTGCTCCAGAGCTGAAACTAAGAGGACTGAGTCCATCAGTGAGAATGTCTCTGTGTTGTCTCCTTAAGAGGACTGCCTGCTTTCCAGCCACACACCATCTCACTCAGCAACAATCTCCAATCATTTCATAACCAAAATTTAGGAAAACTTCTTTTTCCCAGCATTAGAATTCTGGGCTGGGGGAGCCTTGTAAGGGCTAGAACCCTTCACTCCTCAGCGAATCCATCAAAGCTAAACTATCTCTCTGTTTTTAGCTGGCACATGTGTGCGACCGGCTGGTTCTGTATTTCCACCCTACCAACCATATTCTGTCTTTTATTAGAACGCCTGTTATAGGCAGACTTCAGGAGATTCTCAATAAAGGTTTTTCCGTCATTTAGTTGTAATTTTGATGTGATTGTGATAGAAGGCAAACACAATATTTATCTCCTCTGCCATCTTAACCAGAATCATTTTGAATGTCACTTTGAAAATATGTACATTAGGGCTCTCGTGTTTGTGTTCCTCATTATTTCTCTTGCTCAGACAGGCTAGGACAGGAACTAAAGATGTAGTGCTATGTTTGATTGTGTTATCTGTCATTATGTCATGGTCACAATTAATTAACTTTGTGGGGACATGTACTCCTGCTACCTCCTGCTGGTCCTTCACTGTGAATGCCCCCATGAATCCAGCCAGGGCTCTGCCTGTGGGCTTTTGTTGCTTAGGAGACCATTGTTGAAGTTGGTTTTTTTTTTTTTTTTATCAATTTCAGAAGATTCCTTTTGCCTCCTGATTCGTTGTTTATGTTTCTTCCTTGGTGTGGGGTCTGTACATTCTGTTCTCCTCACAGAGCATATTTGCTTTTGCTCTCCCAGCTGCATCACCCTTGTGTTTATGTTATGACTGTTGGTGTGGTGATGGGGCTGGGAGAGCATCTCTCTGACCTTTGACTGAGCCTTGTTCTTAGGTCCAGGATGTGTCCTGGACCTGGGTGTGTCCTTGCAGTTGCTCTTATCTCTCCTCCAGGAACAGTGTTCATCCTGACACATGTTCCTGCCCTGCACTATGATAGATAGTCATCTAGACAGGCTGTCCCCCACATGCAGTGGTTTTCCACCAGTGTCCTCGGATTCTGTTTTCTAAAATACAAAGGATTGTGGAGGAATACCATGAAAAACTTATATAACACCAAATTTAATAACATAGGAGAAATGGACCAATACTCAGAAAAATTCAATCTTCGTAGACTGAATCAGAAAGATATAGAAAATCTAAGCAGACAAATCAGCCTTATGGAAATTGAAACAATCATCAAAAGCCTACCAAAAAGTAAGTGTCCAGGACCAGATGGCTTCACCAGTGAATTCTAACAGACAATCAAAGAACATTTAATACCTATTCTCCTCAAACTCTTCCAAAAATTCAAACAGGAGGCAATACTTCCCAACTCATTTTATAAGGCCAATATTACACTGATACCAAAATTTGGTAAAGATAACACACAAAAAAGAAAAATACAGAAGAGTATCTCTCAGGAACACAGATGCAAAAATCCATATAAGATACTAGCAATCCAAATATATCAACATTTGAAAAAGATTATACACCATGATCAAGTGGGCTTGATCAAGGGGCACAGAGAGGGTTTAACATAAGCAAATCATTTAATGTGATACACCACATTTTTTGCAGAAATGAAAATATAAGTATCATAAGATCATATCAATTGTTGCAGGAAAAGCCTTTAACATTATACAGCCTTCCTTTATGATCAAAACACTTAACAAAATTGGTACCTTAACATAATAAAGGCCATGAAAGACAAACCCTCAGCCAACATTTACTTAATGATGAAAAACTAATACCATTCTCTCTAAGATCAGGAACAAAGCAAGGCTGTCCATTGTCACCACTGTTATTCAATATAACTTTGGGAGTCCTAGCGAGTGCAATCATGCAAGACAAAGATATAAAAGAACCAAATAGAACATGAAGAAGTTAAACTGTCACTATTTGAGGATGACTTGATTCTCCATATAGAGAACCTCGATCATTCCACAAGAACACTACGAGAAACAATAAGCAAATACAGAAAAGTCTGTGGACACAAAAATCAACGTTTAAAATGCTATAATGTCCCATACTCAGATTCTGTAATGAACCATGAGAAAAAGGAGTGGAAAAAATAATTTCTTCTGCAATTGCAGCAAAAAGAATAAAATACTTAGGAATAAATTCAACAAAACTTGTGAAGGGCCTATACAATGAAAACTACAAGACCCTATTAAAAGAAATTAAAGAACATACAGAAAAATGGAAAGATATTCTGTGTTCTTGAATTGGAAGAATCAACCTAGTTAAAATGACCATATTACCTAAAGCGTTATACAGATTTAATGCAATGACGATCAAAATCACATGGAAATTTTTTAAAGAAATAGAACAAAAAATCATCAGGTTTGTATGGAAGCACAAAAGACTGTGACGTGCCACAGCCATCTTGAGAATAAAAGAATGAGGCTGGAGGCATCGCTCTGCCTGATATCAAACTAAATTACAAAGTAACAGTCATCAGAATAGCTTGATATTGCAGCAAAACAGACATATGGACCAGGGGAACAGAATTGAGAGTCCAGAAGTAAACTCATATTTATATCGGCAAATAATTTTCAACAAAGAAACCCAAAACATACAGTGGAGAAAGGAATGCCTCTGGAATAAATGGTGCTGGGAATACTGGAAATCTACCTGCAATAGAATGAATCTAGACTGTTGTCTATCACCATACACCAAAATTAACTTGAAATGGATTAAGGACCTAAATATAAGATGTGAAACAGAAAAATCATAGAAGAAATCATGGGAGTGAAACTCAAGGACCTTAAAGAGGATTTTATGATTTTGACCTCAAAAGCAAGGGAAAAAAACCAAAAATAAATGAATGGGACTACATCAAACTAAAAAGTTTCTGTTTAGCAAAATAAATCGTCAACAAGTTAAGGAGACAACCATCCCAATGGGAAAATATATTTACAAGCAACGCCACCGGTAAGGGCCTCCTATCTAAAATATACAAAGAACTCATACGACTCAATAACACCAAAAAACAAATGATCTAATGAAAAACTGGGGCAGAGGACCTGAACAGACACTTCTCCCTAGAGGATAAGCAAAAGGGCGTACAAGTATGAAAAGATGCTTAACATTGCTAGCTATTAGGCAAATGGAAATCAGAACCACAATGAGATACCATCTCACACTTGTTACAATAGCTATTGTCAACAAGACAAGTAATAAATGTTGGAAAGGATGTAGAGAAATAGGAACACTCATACACAGCTGGTGGAACTGCAAATTGGTATAGCCACTATAGAAAACAATATGAAGTTTCTTCAAAAAACTTAGAATTGATCTACCATATAATCTAGCAATCCCATTACTGGGTATTTACCCTCAAGGACCTGAAAACCCATATCAAAAAAGATATCTGCACACTGATGTTCATAGCAGCATTATTCACAATGGGCAGTACATGGAAGCGACAAAAGGGTCCTAGGATAAATGATTGGATAAAGAAGCTGTGGCACATATATTCAATGTCACTCAGTCATAAGAGATGAAGTATTGCTATTTGCGACAACATGGATGGACCTCGAGATAATCATGCTAAGAGAAATAAGCCATACTGAAAAAGTAGAAAATCCCATAATATCACTTATATGTAGGCATATAAATCTAAAAGCAACAAATGAAAAGGAGAAAGAGAGACTCAGGGTCATGGACAATGGACTAGGGGTTATCCGAGTGCAGGGAATGGGGGAGGAGAGAAGAGGTATATGGGTTAAAGAGGGTAATATAGTGGGGTTGAGGAGGTTGAAGTGAGTAAAGGGGATCAAATATATGGTAGATGAAGGAAACTGGACTTTCGGTGGTAATCACACAATAGAATACATAGACATCCAATTATAATGTACATCTGAATATTATTCCATGTATTAAACAAAGTTATACCAATAAATTTAATTTTAAAAATTAAGTAAATAAATAAATAATGTCTGCAACTACTCCCTAGATAAAAGGATATCTGTATATATTTAATTTGAAAAATGTCATTTTATGCTATTGTAAAAATGCTCTTAGTTTTCTAATACTGCACATAGCCAAAGTTATGGT